CCATTTTCATTTATATAGTGCTCTGTAGAACACAAATTAGTTAGCATAAATCAGTTAAATGACGAAAATTAGGTGTCTATTTACTATGACCACCCAGTGTACATGTGTAAATAAAGCAACTAAAATAGAGATTTAGTGCACCTGTTGAGAAGTTAACTTAATGAAGTTGCATTTTTAGAAAAAAATATTTTGTTGGATTTCCCTATTCGAAAGAAAGCTGTCTGCGCTAACCGTCCCTAGTTTAGCAGTGTAAGACTAGAGGGAAGGCAGCTAGTCATCACCACCCACCGCCAACTCTTGGGCTATTCGAAAGAAAGCTGTCTGCGCTAGCCGTCACTAGTTTAGAAGTGATAGACTATAGAAAAGCCAGACACCGCCAACCCTTGAGCTAGTTTTTTACCATAGAAAAGATGGATTGACAGTCGCAGTATAACGCCCCCACAGATGAAAGGGCGAGCATGTTCGGTGACGGGATTTGAACCCGGTAACCGCAGTTTGTGAGTCGAAGGACCTAACCAATAGGACATGCAAGCTCACGTTTTGTAAGAAACTAAACAAAGAGTTAGGTGTTACGAAACAGCATATTTTCATTTTATGAATACAGAAATTGAGAAGAAAAGGCCAAACCAAAGAGGAGAAATGGTCTCATTACCGTCGAAAAATAGTTGTTTATTTGTTTATTTTTGAATTTCGCGCAAAGCTACACTAGGGCTATCTGCGCTAGCCGTCCCTAATTTAGCAGTGTAAGACTAGAGGGAGGGCAGCTAGTCATCACCACCCACCGCCAACTCTTGGGCTACTCTTTTACCAACGAATAGTGGGATTGACCGTCACATTATAACGCCCCCACGGCTGAACGAGCGAGCATGTTTGGTGTGACAGGGATTCGAACCCGCGACCCCCAGATTGCGAGTCGAGTGCCTTAACCACCTGGCCATACCGGGCCCGAAAAATAATAAAAACATATTAATCTGGAAGTCAGATGTCATTTTTTTATTGCAACCGCATTGATGTTGTATTTACTTCTAAAAAAAATCGAAAAATCACTTATAGATTTCTTTTGAAGTTTAGAATAAATTTTTCTTTAGATTATATATATATATATAATGAAAGATTATATGTTTATAAATATTAGTCTGGTAAAGTCAATTAACATATAATTTATAGATTTGTTGAAGAACCATCCGCCTTTTTCTTTCGTGTTTTATTTAGGGTTAAGAGTAATTTTATTTTTTAAATCCCAAACCCTAACATTTTATCTTTCCATTTAGATTTTTTATATACAGCCTAATAAAATATCAAATAATGGCTTACCGAATGGTAATATCTTTTCGATTCATTAAGTTCTATTGTAAATTTTAGACAGATCGATAGATTCATTTATTTTAGTACGAATATATGTGAAATATTGGGCAGTGATTATAAACACAAAAAGTTTTCCTTAGTTAAAGCACACTACTTCATCATCTAGAGAACTGTATTATTATTAGTCTGCATGCAAAAGGCAGTAACTGTGTCACAGATTCAATAATAACCCAAACGATACTACCACGTAATATATTTAAAACACCACCTGGCGGCATTTTTTAATATATTAAATAGTTTCGATAAAAAAAAATTATAGCCACGCTCTACAAGATGTTTCATTTTTATGGGTTTTTTTTCTGCCTACCGAGAAAAAAGTTTTCGCGAAAATTAAGTCTAATATTCACTTCTTACATTTTCATATTCTTATTTTTAGATTTGTGTTATTAGAGAAATCGTTTATTTTTAGAACTTAATTAAACTTTCAAACACACACACACATATATATATATATATAAACTCTTTGACGTACATAATAACATTATACTCAAAATAGGACTTTTAATATTCCTTCAACAAAACATTATCACGTTTAAGTACTGACAGTGAATATCTTTAGTGTGCTCAAGCTTGGAAATTTAAAATGTTTGAATCAAATATGTTTAAACCTCATTATTGAAGTTAATGGAGTAATCCACAGTTATCTTCTATAGCTTGATATTATAATTTGTATAGTGTAAAATACCCCCCAAAACTAACGATATCAATTAAACTTTATGCGACAAATGTTCTTTTTTTACATAAAATAATATTGAGAGAATTGTAGTTTATGTTATTAATGTAAAGGATTCTATAGTTTGATATGTTATAAAAGTTGCAGTTTCAAGAAATTCACGTGAAACTAATTAACTTAACATATGTTGATATGGAACTTTTAAGAAACTCGGCTTTAAGAACACAAAACACAATTAAAAGTATTTACAATTAAAAATAATAATTATGAATCATTCAAAAATTATATATATATATTTGCGACTTACAATAAGCCGGAATTACCAGCAACAGAATGATCCCTAGAGAAAACGCCATCTTTCGTCTGCCTTCTAGCTGTGAGACCAAGGAAGGAAAGTCACCCGAGTGAAAGCTGAGTGATTGAATACGTTCAGTGCGTGTGTAATGTGTAACACTCAGGGCGACTTGGGATATGGTCACGTGACAACCCTAGGTACCGTTATACTGGTATTTTTTAGTATACTAGTAAAGGAGGTGTTCGATCTAGTGTAAACTAAATCTGACGTAACTGTGAAAATGTGGTATTCAGGCCATATTTGGGCTATCAAATATATATTATCTTGTACTACAACTTTTCCAGACTTTTAGACAAAACCAGTTTTGTTTCGACTCAATTACCTTTGGAAAAAAAAACACCTGATCAGGTTTTTAGTGTGTCATGGGTGTGGCATGTTAAATAAGTTTAAAGAAACACTTGTTAACGCTTCTACCATTGACAACGTAGTTGGTTCATTTCCGATACCGGTTGGCTATACATTGCTTCTTGTCTGAAGGATTTTCTGCTAACAGTTTATAAAAAAAAATCATCTGATATAATTTCACTGCACATTAATTGAACGTTTTCTATCATCACAGTTCGGTTTGGTTTTACTAAAGCTTTACGAATGCTGTATGGATTTGACTTTACTAAGCCTGAACTTCAACTCACCTATGTATTTTAATGAGTATATTTTGGATTTATGTTTTGATTTCCTGCGGTAGAGTTCAAATATAAGAAGTAAAATACAAACCCCACAGAACTATTTTGTTATGTAAAAATTTTTCCATCAACATGGGAAATATACACAAATAAACTCCAGTTAATTAACTGCTGTTAATTCTTCCACACGAAAGTTTTTTATATTGTTATATTTTTAAGTTTTTATAGTGCCTTGGTTAAGCTTCAATTGACAAAAATTGTGGTCATTTAGAAAAACTCTGCCTTTATAAAAAAAAAAAAAAATAACATCAACTTTGAAGAGCTTTTTCTACTGTCCTCCGGTGGGACAGCTGTAAGTTTTCGGATTTAAAACGCTAAAATCGGGGGTTCTATTCCTCTCGGAGGACACAGCAAATTGCTCACGTGGCTTTGCTTTAAAAATCACACCCACTCAGTTATTTGACTGTATATATATATATATATATATAATTACTATTTTGGTTATGTAATATATAAAACACATTAATAACAAAAGTATCTACTTATTTTCATTTTCATAAAGTAATCTGAGGTCGATCCTACATTTTCGTCCTTCCTAAGAATTCAAGTTTAAATCTTCTTGCGACAAATATTATCTCTATTTACTTTCTACAACCAACTAGTCCGCTTACATCGTGCTTGAGATTAGCTATTAAACATCGTTTAAATCGTTAAACAAAGTGATGAAAGCGATGTTCCAAACATGATGCGTCTAATGTTTACAACTGTTCTTCGTGAAATTTTTAAATAAGAGTTGATAGCTACCCTTAGCTGTTGCAATATTTTGAGCCTTATCATAGGTGTCGCTTGGCACTAGCCAACATTCCACTGAGTTTCATCATAGGTGTTGCTTGACATTTGCCCACATCCCATTGAGTCGTACCATGGGTGTTGCTTGGCACTGGCCAACATCCCATTGAGTATCACCATGGGTGTTGCTTGGCACTGGCCAACATCCCATTGAGTATCACCATGGGTGTTGCTTGCCACTGTCACACATCCCATTGAGTCTCACCATGGGTGTTGCTTGGCACTAGCCTATATCTCATTGAGTTTCACCGTGCTTGTTGCTTGGCACTGGCCCACATCCCATCGATCCTCACTATTGGTGTTGCCTGGCACTGGCCCACATCCCATCGAGCCTCACCATGGGTGTTGCCTGGCACTGGCCCACCCTGACCCAATATGAAAGGGTACTGAACAAAACACTTGTAGAAAAATACTATAAAACGTTATATTGGCTGTTTTAACGGAGTTCAGCAAACAAGTTTTTATTGACATGCGAGAACGTGTATCCTTTAAAAACCAAGCCTTTAAAGTACAAATGTTTTGCAACGGTCTCTCATTAAAATTAATTTCTTCTGAGCCTCAATCCCAGGTCCTCCTGTAGCAAGAAGCGCCTCTGATTCTTTTATATATATATATATTTTAGCGATAAAACGTTAAAAGTTTGTACACTTTTTATACACTGTTGACGATGTCGTTTGAATATATTGTTATGTTTGTTGATAGAAGATATTTAACAGATTGTTTTAAATTTTGTTGGAGCTTTAATATATCGTGAAAAAACAGTTGGTTTAAAAAAGTACAATAAGCATACTTCAGAATTAAGAACATTGTGTTGTTTCCGTAGTCGTAATATTTATTAAAATAATCTTTTTTTTTAAACTTTGTACCACATTTTATAATATATTTGACGAGTATGACTGGTTTCTTCGAGGTTGACTATGTTATAGGTATTTTATAAATCAGTCAATGTTAAGCGAAAACAACAGCAGAAAAGGCCTGTTTGGAAAATCATTAGTTCCACCAATGATGTTTCAACCCTCTACAATATATTATGGTAGCTTGTAGTCAGAAAAATGCAGTAAATGTCTTAACTAGGGATATACATTACTCTGAAACAAGAAACATGAGGAGTTGGGTTTAGAGCGTTTTTATGTTAAGAATTGTTTATTCGTGGTTCAATATCGAAACCAATTACTGTTTAAAATAAGAAATGGGGTCAAAAGTTGAGCTCTCTCTCTCTGTTCTACTTTGTTTTTCAAGAATAAACAGGACTCAGTTATTTTTTTAGTATACACATATGGCATCAAAAGCAAGTGTTTTCATTCGAAAAGGATCGAGGCCATAACTAATCCATCAAGGCTTAACAAAGAATATTAAAATTCAAACTGAGCGTGAGACAAACATTAAGTATCGGTAACAATTTCAGGCAGTCATCGCGGGTATCCTGTTTGTCTTTGAATTAAGGGCTAAATAATTCTGACAAACTTCTTATTTCTACTGCACGCATGAGCTGAAGTTAGCTTTAATTGCATCATTTTTACAGGAAGAAAGAGACGCGATTGTTTGTCCTGCATAGCTAACGTCTCTCACATGGATGCGAAAAAATAGGCCAATAAAATTATTTTTAAATTCTTGACGCTTATTTTCTTTGTTTCCTTTCACCAACATGGCCTAAAGTGCTTCCAGACAACCTTTAAAACGTATACAACAGACGTGAGACAGTAGATAGCGTGATGTTCTATGGATCTGCGGGTTCATTGTTCATGTCCCGTTACCAAAAAAATAAAATCGTACTCTACACTCTGAGGCTGTGGTTGCGTTGTAAGGTAACGTGCAAATCTCACTATTCGGTCAGAAAAAAGTAGCCCAAAGGTTAGCGGCGGGAGTAACACCTGCTAAATACATATATGATAACAAGGATTATTATATTATTTGTCAGATCTATTTGTCAGATACCTCGAAGTTCTCAACTTCTTTGTTTTTATAGTTATTTAATTGTATTATCTAGCATGCGAGACGAATTGAGCAGTTATTGTGTAAACTACAGTAATCGAAGGTACTTTTAAACAATATCCGCTTCGTTGTCTGTTCATAGCCTTTTCAATAAAAGTAAATATAAATATACATACATTTACTTTTCTGGAGAAAAGGGGAAAACAACGCAGCCACAAACAAACATCTAACACCAGGAAAAAAAAAACACAAGGTGGATCATTGTGTAATGTAGTTTAACTTTATCATTATGTAATGTATTTTAACTTTATTATGGCCAGGTGGTTAGGGCACTCGACTCGCAATCTGAGGGTCGCGGGTTCGAATCCCCGTCATACCAAACATCGCCCTTTTAGTCGTGGGGGCGTTATAATGTGAAGGTCAATTCGTTAGTAAAAGAGTAGCCCAAGAGTTGGCGGTGGGTGGTGATGACTAGCCTTCTCTCTAGTCTTACACTGCTAAATTAGGGACGGCTAGCGCAGATAGCCCTCGTGTAGCTTTGCGCGAAATTCAAAACCAACAATCGTGTAGCTTATTTTATGACAAGAGGTTTATTATTTTAACACATTTAATAATCCTAAGTAATAAAAAAATTTAAAAATAAGTATGATGTAGGGATGGCAATACCAAAATGTACAGAAACAAGGTAGAGATGAATACACAAAACCATACAAAAATCCCTACATAAGTAGCCAAATATTTCTATGAAAAACTTTTATCTACAACTTTATCTACATAAATTCAGGTTTAAATAAAAGTATTTAAAGTGAAAAATGCTAAAAAAGTCTTAGAATGGCTGATTCCCATAAGTTTGTAACATTGACTCAGTGGCTACTTATGTAGGAATATTTGTATGGTTTTGTGAATTCATCCCTATCTTGTTTTCTGTATATTTTTGCCATTGCCATCCCTTAATCATCCTCTCTTTTTTTATTAATTTGTATTACTTGTTTCTCCTCTTTTTAAAAGTATACCAGTGAATATTTTATAATGAATGACAGTCGTTATGAAGGCAGCAGTTTCAGCCTGGCATGATGAGTTGTCTTGATGGACATCATGTGTTAAAGTTAGTGAAACGCTATACTACTTCTGCACTCCCCAAGTTAAAATTCAACATTTTGGTGTGTAAATCATTACAACAACTTTAAGCATTTGGTGAAATAGTCTTTCTGACGCCATAATTAAAATAATCAGAACATTTGGCTGTTACGCTACTCGCCAGTTCTCTACTTTAGCGATATATATATATATATATTTGGGGCTAAAATGAAGATCTTAACCCAAGTTAAGTGTTAATAAAAGTCTCTTAGATTGTTAAATGAGAGATTTGTGACTATGATGAGCAATACATAATATGCACTGGCCTTTTTTCGGCCCATCTCTACATATTAAGCACTGCCGTGCTTAGTGATAACCAGAAATATGTTGAAAATATTTTTTATCAAATACAGCCAGAAACAAGGCGATCCAGTAAAATCATTCAGTTTGATATTAAAATACTAAACTTTTTCTCATTTGTAATTAATATAATTTGTTAATAACTTTGATGAACTTCATATACCTTCTAACTCAGCTGAGCTTCGCATACCCATTAGCTTTGATGAATTTCATATA